TGCAGCCTTTCCATTATATTGCATATAAACCAAAGGGGCAAATTCTCTGCTAGTCTGATTCCACTGAAGTCAGTGGAGTTGGGCCAACAGAGAATTGTACCCCAAATTGGGATAATTCCAGAATGTCATGAATTTATTCTTTAATATCTCTGGCAGCATGCAAAATATAGCTTAGACTTTTTTGGCATGCATTATCTAGAAAATGTACTGCAGTTCAATAAAGCCATATGAAAATATTGTTATTTCATTGCTTCATGACAGTCTGACAAAATGCCACAACAAATCAAGCTGGGGTCTGTTTGTCTGTCTGTCTGGCATTTTTGCAATTCTGCAGTTTCATGTTTGTTGGTTGTCAAAATAAAGGGCTTGAATAGGTGCTCAACTAATGGGAGCATGATCCTGAAATGTCTAGGGATATAATGTCCATGGGAGACCTTGCAAAAAAACAAGATGAATGAAATCAGGGGTGCTGTATAACTAATTATCCAGGCTTGGAAGCATTTGATTTGGAATGATAACTGAGTGACCAGCAGCAACAACAAATAAGTTTACTTCAGCAATGTATTAGCATTGTCAAAATGACTTCTCTTGTTCAGTGACATGTCCTTCCCACCACCTTTCTTTCTTCTTAAGTTTACCCACATCTGACCTCACTAGCTGACTCAGACGGCTCTAAGATGATGTATGATAAGTTCAAGAAGTGGAACAAAGGGATTGTGTGTAAATGACAGATGCCCTGAAGCAATTCTTGTATATATGATTTTTGGTGCAAAATGTATTAACAATAGTAAATATTTTTGTTTGAGAAAATAACGCACATTGATATGCAATTCACATATCCTTTGAATATGCATCCTCCTCCGCCCCTCCTGCTATGTTTAACTTGAATGCAGAGCAAGATGAATTTTTCAGCAGCATAGTGCTGATTTCACAGAATATAAATGAAGAGGCATTTAATGCTGCATCCTCATTTAAAGGTGAACTGAAAGGCTTTGTACCAGCCAAGACCTGAGAGAACTCTGTTACTCCTGTAAGAGGTCGTGTCATGGTAAAATAGTTTAGGGGTAGCATTCTCTAACCCTATTTTTTTAACGTATCGTAGTGACATCAGTTCTTTCTGGAGAAATACAGAACTCTGAACTCTGATCCTGAAAGCAAAGTAAAAAGAGAACTAATATGTAAATATCTTATTTTTTTAATTTTATTTTTAAGTCCAACCATATCATGTTGTAATGTTTATAAATCTTAACTAGGTTTTTTTGTTACACGAATAGTTGAGTTGATCTTGCCTCATGTATACTACTGCACCATAGTAACATATCTGAAGAAGTAAGCTTTTGTACCGTATAAGGTTCATTACTGGTAAGGAATGTTGTCTCGTGCTTGTATTGTGTACCAACCCTTGCCTCTTGTTTTCTCAACCTATCAAAATGATTCTGTTCTTACCACAGCCCTAATCCTGCAAGCACAGAATGCAAATTTGCTTGTGTGAGTAGTTTTTCATCAAACTTTACTTGTTATTCATATGCATTGTGTTGCTGGATTAGGCCTCTGAGATGGAAAGCTTCCTAGGGGTGCATCTACACAGCACCCTTACCTTGAAATAAGCTACACAATTTGCACTGCACTGTGCAAGTTGCATAGCTTATTTTAAGGTAATTTTGAAATAGCTTATTTCAAAATTTGGCATTGTCTACACAACGACAAATTTGAAAATAAGGTGCTATTCCAAAATATCCCTTAACCCTTGTGCAGTGAGGTTTACAGGGACGTTGGAATAGCAAGACTGTTATATTTCGATATAACAGGCTAGCTCTTAAGAGGTAGAATAGCTATTTCCAAAATAGCTCCACTGTGTAGACGTAGTCTAATAGAAAGTGACTATGTATGCCTTTTATCTCTTATGTGCCATTCATACATATGGCTTTTGTAATGACAAGTGGCAATGTTAAAGTGGAGATGAGTTACAAGCAAATGGGGCCTTAATTCTCCAGAGAAACCATGACCTGTAGGGTTGCCAACTGTCTAATCATGCAGCCCCAAAGACCATTGCCCTGCCCCTTCTTCAAGGCCCCAGCCCCTGCTTACTCCATTTCCCCTCCCTCCATTGCTTGCTCTCCCCTGCCCTCACTCACTTTCACCAGGCTGGCACAGAAGACTGGGGTTCAGGATGCAGGCTCTGAGCTGAGGCAGGGGGATGGGGTGCAGACACTGGTAGGGAGTTTAGGTACGGGCAAGAGTATAGGCTCTGAGGGAGTTTGAGTGCAGGTGGGGCAGAGGGAATTTGGTGGCAGAAGCCCGTGTGGGATTAGGGAGGGGAGTGTGGGGGGCAGTCTCTGGGAAGGAGTTTGTGGGGGGGAGGGGTGGCCTCTGGGCTGGAGCATGTGGTTGGGGTGCTGGCTTTGGGAGGGAGTTTGGATGCTGGGGCAGGGGAGTTGGGGTGCAGGTGGGGATGACAGGTGCAGGCTCCAGCCAAGCAGTGCTTCCTGTTGGCTGTTCCCAAAAGCTACTCAGTTCCTGGCTAATGGAATCTATGGAATCAGTGCAGGAGTTGTGTGCAGAGACCCTCCTATTCAGCAACCACAGGGGCATTTCTGGGAGCAGCACAGAGCGAGAAGGGGCAGGGAGCCTGCCTTAGCCCAAAGGTAACAATAAGCTGATGCTCCATTAAAAGACTGCCTAGCTTAGGGCCAGGCTTCAGATAGTGTCGTCATCCTGGGCTGTGTAACCACAGTGCTCACAAGCTCCAGCCCTGCTGCTCTGGTGGCCAGGGTGGGCCACACGGTCCCTTTCTTCCCAGGGAACCAGCAGCTGGGCGGTGATATTCCCCTTCCCTAAGCCTACTCTACACTCTATCCCACAGGTACTGTCCCTCTGCCCTCATCTCACCCACACTGACCTCCTGCCCTGAGTCCCCCACACTCCATCCCACACATAAATGTCTTACAGGCACTTTCCTATCACAAGTTCCCATCCCTGATCCTTCTAAGTATGTGTATGGGGGGGAGGAGGGCTGCGATAGGACAGTACCTGTAAGAAATTTTACTTACTTTCACCCCTGCCTTAGCCCCGCTGCATTGCCAGGTTGTCAGCACCCAAAATCTCCCAAAGTGGCTGT